CCCGGACTTTGTTGTGTAATGATGTTTTTTGTGTACCTGTATGAATCCATTCATGCAGCTGTAGAACTTCTCTCTGATCCCGGTGTAGAGGTCAAACACATAGTTGAGTGTGTAGAAGAAGGAGGCCATGTAGAGAGCCTGACAGAACAAAAACACAGTAAAACCATAATTGCTTTTCATATGAAGCCTGTTTGTGTGCACACAAACACTCGTGTCCTTCACACTCACACTCCGTGAACTGTAAACATCCGTCAGTGGAAAGATCAAGCAATAAGATCAGCAGCTGACCCGAGGCTCGATGCGTCTGAACAACACATGTAGGTCAGGAATGTGTTGTGGTGTTTTCTTCTATTTTCATCGGGTCTGTGATCTGTCCTGGTTCTGCTGCTCTACTTCATCCCAGACTGACCCAGTTCAGGATCAGTTCTGGACCGGGTCATCGGGGACAAACAGCCCAAAATACCAGGACAGGATCTCTTCAAAAAGTTCATCTGTTCAGGGGCCACTCATTTCAATAGAAGACATTTAAAGTCCCATCAGCACCTGTTTTAACAGCTCATCATCTTTGTTAATACATATGGAATCATTCTAGGACTCCTGATCGCTGAATCATACCGGACACAAAGACAAGAGGTGGTTCACACAGAATAATAACACCAACAGAATGGTCAGTAATCTTAATTCAACAGAATGTTGGAGGCAATCAGCAGCAGATAAAAACTGCTCTCAGATTACCAAACAAGCTCCCATGATTCCTCAGGATTCCTGATTTTCATCCAGGCAGCCTGGGTTCAACTCCCGGTATGATTTCTTTGTCGATATGTGATTAAGTGCAGAATTTCACCCTCATTTTCAAGAAACCGCCTATCCGAAGCCAGGTCTCAGGGGGCAACAAAGTATTCCAGACGTCCCTCTTCCCTGCAACCCTTTCCAGCTCCTCATGGAGGACCCCGAGGCGTTCCCAGACCAGATGAGATATATTATCCCTCCAGTGTGTTCTGGGTCTGCCCCGGGGCCTCCTACCAGTGGGACGTACCTGGAACACCTCTAACAGGAGGCGCCCAGGAGGATCCTGATCAGATGTTGAACCACCTCAACATGAAGGAGCAGCGGCTCTACTCCGAGCTCCCTCCAGATGTCTGACTCCTCCCCCTATCTCTAATGCTGAGCCCAGACACCCCAAGGAGGAAGCTCATTTCACTCGGTCACCACCCAGAGCTCATGACCATAGGTGAGGGTTGGGACGTAGATGGACCAGTATATCGAAAGCTTTGCCTTCTGGCTCAGCTCCCTCTTCACCGCGACAGTCCGGCGCAGCGTCTGCATCACTGTAGACTCTGCGGCAAACTGCCGATCCATCTCATGCTTCATTCTACCCTCACTTGTGAACAAGACCCTGAGATACTTGAACTCCCTCTCTTGGGGTATTAACTCTCTCCCAACCTGGAGTGCCAGATTTAATCAGTAGTTAATAAATTAAGATCCATCAACTCAGTGTCTTAGTTAATAGATTTGGAAAAAGTAAATCACCATACTGGGAGTAGAACCTTCCGACTGTTGGGAGTATTTTGTGGTAGCCATATACATTTGAGATGATGTATTCAATTAGAGGGTTTCCATATTTGGACTAAGCCCATTCAATAGACTGCATTCAATATCTTAAAATATATCAAAATGTGTTTGATATTTACATTAATATATGTTAATTAACATGTGTCTAATTGTATTTAAACAACTAAATGTCATGATTAACTGTTCCAACGGGTAATTTTCCAAACTGGGGGTCGAATCCTGACCACTAGACCATATGGAATAAAAGACAGGACGAGATGGTCAGCACAAGATAATTCCTGCAAATGTGGGCGTGCAGCCTCGTTCTGTGGTGACTTCCATCTGTGTCACCGCTGATGAGGAAATACAGCTGGAGTGCTGGACGGAGCAGTGAGTGACAACAACCCCGCCCACATTTAAGAGGAATGTAAATGTAAACACCAATACGAACAACACTGGGTAACAAAACCAGGACGCAGGTTGGGTTTCGTAATTTGTTTGATCAACTATCAAGCTGTCATTTCATGATCATGATTTATTAAAACTTGTGATCACCATTTTTCTTCTCTTAGTAAGTCCCATATGGTCTAGCGGTCAGGATTCCTGGTTTTCACCCAGGCGGCCCGGGTTCAACTCCCGGTATGGGAACAATGTTGTGATTATGTACTCATGATTTCCAAGAGTAGGTGTCAGGTTTCCAGATTTGGACGGAGCCCAAGACAGTGTTTGGTTATTTATACACTGAGTGCAAACTAAGATCTATAATCACCTGTTGAAATTTGGAAAATGGACCATACCAGCTTTAAGTAATAAAGGCAGGAAAAGATGCTTACCACAAAGTTATTAGTTTCATCTTCAGCCCATTCTTGTTCAGACCGAGCAGCTTTATTACAACACATTCATCCTTTTCGTGGTCAGCAGTCTTAATTTAACAGAATGTAGGCTACATGTCACTGTCACTTTCCTGGTTTTCAGCTCCTGGTTTGTTAAATCAGTTAATCCAAATCTATTTATGATGGCACTGAGTCTGTGTATGATATACACCTGATACTGATGGTCCAAATACAGAAATCCTGCAATGACGCATAATCACCAATGTGCCTGTTCCCATACTGAGAGTTGAACCTGACCCCGAATTGGCCAGCTGGGTGAAAACCAGGAATCCTGACAGCTAGACCATATGGGACACAAAGAGAAGAGGTGGTGGCCTCAAAATAATCAGGACATAACATTAACATAATGGTCATTATTATTAGAAGTAGATAACAGCAGAAAAAAAACTGCTCTTTCTCTTCACAGCAGCTCCCATATGGTCTAGCAGTCAGGATTCCTGGTTTTCACCCGGCGGCCTGGGTTCAACTCCCGGTATAGGAATAAGTGTATATGTTGTTGTGTTCATCATATACCCATGATCTCTAAATTTGGATAGTCTGGTATACTGGGCACCTTGATCTGGCATTGCCTGTGAAACTTAGATACTGGACCAACTTTGAACCAGGCCACATCAAAGACAAAGGCTCGGGGAGATGATTACCATAAAACGATAATTCATCTTCCGAAAAAAACAAAGAAGCTGCTCTCAGTTTCTAAACTCAGAATTCCTGACTTTCATCTGCTTGTATGGGAAACCATTATTCCAAATCTATTGAATTTGAATGTTATATAGAAAATACTGTCTGCAGTGTTGGGTTGTGTCCAAATACAGACATCCTGCAAACCTACACAAATATTCTTGTTCCCATACCAGAAGTTGAACCCAGGCCGCCTGGATGAAAACCAGGAATCCTGACCGCTAGACCACATGGGAGGTAGCTTAATAAAGAAGAGCAGTTTTCTTGTCGTGCTATTTGCCTCGTACGGTCTATTAAAATAATATTATTGATCATTACGTTGATTTTATGACCTGATTATTTTGAGGCCACCACCTCTTCTCTTTGTGTCCCATATGGTCTAGCTGTCAGGATTCCTGCTTTTTACCCAGCTGGCAAACTCTGGGTCAGGTTCAACTCCCAGTATGGGAACAGGCACATTGGTGATTATGCACTGATGCAGGATTTCTATATTTGGACCATCAGTATCAGGTGTATATCATACACAGACTCAGTGCCATCATTAATAAACTTGGATTAACTGATTTAATAAACCAGGAGCTGAAAACCAGGAAACTGACAGTGACATGTACATTCTGTTAAATTAAGACTGCTGACCATGAAAGGGATGAATGTGAAGACAAACTAGACGACTACTTATCATGGACGCACAAATTACACTTGAGCTGAAACTAATAACTCTTAAAAGTGGTACTTTGATGGGATCATTTTGTGGTAACCATCTTCTCCTGCCTTTATTACCCATGTGGTCTGGTTTAAAGTTAGTCTGGTCCAGGTTTTAGGGCTGAACAGGTGATTACAGATCTTAGTTTTCAGTTACTGAATGTAGTACTCTATCCAAATCTTGATATCCTAGACTTACACTTGGAAATCATGAGTACATATTCATAAACTTTTTCCCATACCGGGAGTTGAACCCAGGCCACCTGGGTGAAAACCAGGAATCCTGACCGCTAGACCATATGGGACCTATACTATCTATCATAAAAAACAAGGCAGCCACAACTTTGATTAAATCGTGATCATGAAATAACAGGTTGATAGTTGATTAAATAAACTATGAACCCCAGCACCATCCTGGTTTTGTCACCCAGTGTTCCCAGTATGAGAATATACATTCACTGAATCCTCAGTGGTCATTTAAAGTTCAGCTCCTCTACAAAGTGAAGTCAGTGTTTTATTCAGCTGCAGTTCACCTGGTGGCCACTGAGGCTGACTGACACACCCATCCTCCAATCACTGAGCTGGTGGGAGGGACCGGATTCAAATTCTGAAAGATGGCTGCAGCTGTTTGACCGACAGCTCGTGTGTTTGTGTGTTTTCCAGTGTGTCAGAGTCTGTAAGTAAACTCTATGTTGTTTGTTTGGAGGAAGCAGTTTGTGTGAGACGATGTTAAATGTGCTGTGATGTGTTTTAAAGTCAGTTAAACTGTTTCTGTTTGAGCTCACTGAGGAACTGACTTCCTGAATTCATGTGACACACTCCTCCTGTGGAAACAGTGCATGGTATTTAATTGTTTGCTGGTCATACTTACATCCTTTTACTTGTAGTGGAGTTTTTCCGCAGTGTGGTTTTAGTAAACAATCTGACTGTTTCGTCCACCACTGCTGAGGTGAGGTGTGGCTGATAATGCAGGTTGTTTCATTGGGAGTTTTGAAACTTTGCATCTCTCAGGAGGAAGTTGAGATTTTCCAGTTTTATATTGTCTCTGTGTTTCGGGGGGATGCACGGCCAGCTACATATGAGGCTTCCTTTTTTTGCTTGGTTTTTAAGGAAACACCTTTTTGTTTGTGATGAGAGGAAGGAAATCCCATGATATTTTTCAACACCGGTGAAAAGGCACCTAAATTTCCCCCTAAAAAATCAGGAAACTCTGTCTGCCCTGCACTGACCTGCTGTCTGGTTTCACATAAGAAGTTTTTCCTGGTTAAATATGAAGTATCTGTGACTAAATCAGCAGATAAGAGACTCCCCAAGGCTGTGTGTATTTTACAGCAGTGAGGGGAGCTCAGACAAAACAGAGAAATCTCTCAGGTGAAATTATTAAAATGGGTCCAAATTTGGTTGAACGTATAAATACAAATTTTGTGTTCAGACTCAGCGTTCTTCAGCATCTTTTAGGCCAAGGGACCCTTAGCTGGAAGCAGAACGGAGCTTAAGATAACTCTCTTCTCTCATTTGCTTTAGCCTGTCAATGCTAAAGGGCTCATTTACGCTTAACATCACACATGGAGACGGAGATGGACAGAACCTTCTGTCTATACTCTGTCCATATTTCTTGGGCCATATTTGTACATGTTTTTTGAAAGCTCACAGATACGACCGAAATGGATCATAAGTCCCGTCTCCACCAAACCCTTTCAGTCCAGCACCTTTGGAACCAGCAGTAAGCCTTCAGACATGGTACCTAGACCCTCGGTTTGTTCAGACAGTCCTCTTAAATGTGGGCGGGGTTGTTGTCACTCACTGCTCCGTCCAGCACTCGCTGTATTTCCTCATCAGCGGTGACACAGATGGAAGTCTGCACCTGGTTTATCGTCCACAGAACGAGGCTGCACGCCCACATTTTCACAACAAAATACAACAGGCTGCAGTGAGAGTCTCTCTCCATGGGATATTTAAAAATAGCAGCTTTGTGCATTTAGTCCTTCTCAGGCAAGCTCAGGGGTTTAGTGTTGCTGTAGTCCACAGGAAGTGAGGATTAGAATATATGACCTTCACATAATCCGCTCCAAATTAATCTATATTTTTAAAGTCATTACTAAAAGTGTGTGTCATATAAAACCTAAAGTGATGGTCAAAGTTGTCACAGTGAAATTTAAGGTGTGCTGATGGATTCACGTCATCAACTCATGCATTGAGTAACATTACAAGTTAACGTTCCACCTTAAAAGTTGCCGGCAGTCGGCCCAGTGAATGAAGTTATTTTTTCTCAGACTCCAGCTGCTGTGAGAGGCAGCAAAACATTATTTCATTTTACAGTTTACACCTACAGCTTTTCTTTAGTTTTTAATCACAAACAGGAGGAAATAGTGACTTTGTTGGGGACTATTTTTAGCAGTGGATCCATCCACATTTGAATGGTGTGTATGGGATTGAGTCAAAATAAACTACAGTGTGTGTGTTCATGGTATTAAGGAACATATCAATCAGTGACACACTGTGGCTCACTGATGTGTTTTTAACAACAACAGGGCTCTATGGCACAGAGGGAGATGATATATCAGGCTCTGGAGATGTTGTAATGTTGTGTTGTGTAGTGTAGTGTCATGTAGAGTAGTATTACCTGCTCCACAGTGTGCAGGTGGTAGCAGTGTGTGTTCAGGCTGCTGCAGCTTTGAGAGAACAGAGCGGCTCCGATCAGCCAGCACAGAGCGAGCAGCAGATCGGACACACTGAGCAGGAACAGAGGCTGCAGCTGCGCACACACACACAAACACACAGTTGCACTCTGAAATACATCTCAATACAAAGGACAATAATGTTGATTTTACAGGTTTTATCCACTTAATTTATAATTCTGTGAGTAAATCCCATGTGTCTTGCTCCTGTTTAGGAGAGGTGGTGGGGAATTTGTACTTAAACTTTTCCACGCACTCATAAACTAGACATAGCTTTACAAAGGGTCACATACATGTAGCTACAGGCTTTGAGATGATTCTGAACATCATTTCAGAAGTCCCATGTCATATCAGCTCATGTTTGAGGCCGTGCAAACTGCAGCTGCAGCGAGCAGAAATGTGTAAAACAAAAAACGGAGACTGACCTCGGGCGTGCGGCTGAGTCTCTGTAACATCAGACAGACGATGATGGAGCCTGAACCCAGAACACTGAAAACACGATCACAGACTGCTGTTAAAAACATATAACGTTTATTCTCAGTAAACTTTTATATCTAATAACAAATGTCATGCTGTTTCTCAAAATGTCTCCCGATGAAACAATGAGCTCTAATCAGATTATTTCATGCTGACTGGAACTTCTCCTTCTTCTGTTGTCTGAGCGCAGTGACCTTTGACCTTTAACCTCCTTTAAATGTGTCATTGAAGCAGAAATTAAAGCTTAATGTCCTGAAGAGTCTGAAATACATTAAATTCAGACCTTTTCAGAAATCATTTTAAAATAAATCTGACTGCGTAAATAAGGAACAGTGCTGCAGGACTGTGCATCAATCACAAATCAGACTTGTTACTTTAATGCTTTGCAGTAAACCAGTTTAACCATCAGAGGATAAACCAGTAAGTGATGACCTCACTGACCTGAGCAGAGCCATGATGAGCTGGATCCACCTGACGGCTTCATACACCTGCAGACAGCAGACATCAGATCAGTGTCATTCACACTAACTCACAGGCAGAGTCAGGTTAGAGCACAAATAACACGCTGGGGAAGTTTCAAAATAAAAGGAACTGAAAACAGATGAACTTTAGAAGAATAAATAAAAGACAGTCTGATATTAAAATATGAAGAAGTAAAGTACAATTAAGTATTTAAATGATGCTCAGATGAGAAGTTTACAAAGAACGGGAAAGAAAACAGATAAGCAACAACAGAAAAGTGAAGTGAAGGGTCAGAACCCAGCACATAAATAAATATACATAGTTCTCAGCATGTTTCCTGACCACTGGAGAGAGTTCATCATCAGGGCCTCTCAGCAACAGAATAAATGTCATGTATCTACAGAAAGTTTTACGTTTCTGCATTTTTTTATTTTTTTTTTAATGAACAAACCGATGATTAAATGAAGTCAATCTGGAATTTGATGAATGAAAATTATCAGAATGAATGTAAATAAATTAATTATCTTTTTATCGACTAATTATGATGCTCCATTCTGTGTTGAGTTAAAGACTTTTGAGGCAGCATTTTCAGCTATTTTGTATGGGTGTGAGGGTTAGGGTTAGGGTTAGGGTTAGGGTTTAAGGTTTCCCTGAAGTCTGTTGACTCTCTTTATATGACTGGGGTGAAATCCCTATTAGGGGTGAGGTCAGCTAGACCCAACCTGCTCTGCCTGTTGGAGGCAGGACTACCTTCAGTGCAAGCCCTAGTGAGAGAAAAGCAAGGCAGTTTTTTTTTAACAAGGTAAAGCAGCGTCATGGCATGCTTGATGACCCTTTATACTATGTTTTCGAGTTAACAAGAAAGGAGAACCAAGTTATAAACTCGTATCTATTGTCCTCTCATAAATTGCGAGTGGAAATGGGAAGGTGGAGTCATACACCACCTGAGCAACAAGTATGTTGCTGTAATACTGGCATACAAGATGAAAAACATGTACTGGTGATATCCGTGCAAAATATGAACATGATTTCACTGAACTGAACTCTCTCTTTGTGGACATAAAAGAACTTCATTTATGTTACAAGCTTGTCTCGCACTGTCGGAGGACCAGCAAGGTCCCAAAGAATGACTGTTGGGAGCTTCTGCATGCGTATTATTTTGCCCCCCCTTTGTTTTTAAATAAGATGGATTTGTTGTATGCAGTATTCATAGACATGAATACATTTTTCATTTTTGATAAAGGGTCAGTGTGCAGGAGGATATATTGACAGAAATGGAATATAATGAGTATTTTCTTCAGTGCATTATCTCCTGAAAATAAGTGGCTGCATTTCTTTCTGTCACCTCAGAATGAGCTGTTTACAGGGATCGCCATCTTGCAATGCCATGCTCACCTCAGATGCCACGAGCAAACATGGAGGTGGCTGAGCTGAAAGGGCGGCGAGTGGCGGTACAGTGCTAACAACAGCAACAGGGCCAACAGTGTTAAAGGGAGGAAACAGTGACTTTGTTAGGGACTATTTCCAGAGGCGGATTAATCCACATTTGGTGCTGTAGTGAGTATTTGTGGCAGGAGATTTGTTGACAGTCAGAAAATCAGCAGACTGGTCCTTTAAGGTCAGGTTTATATGAGCTGCAGATGTTTGAGAGTGAAAGTGCTACAAATAGAGAAGGCGGCGAGACATAAAATCCCCTGAGTTTAAAGAAGTATGACAAGACGCGACTGAAACCAGCTTCAGTTATTATGTTAATGTTTCTGCAGCTGAGCTGATGCTTTGAAAAAACACCTCATCACTGTTCACAGTCTGAGTAACATTCAATTTTAACTGATGAAAATGCCAAACATCATCATGTTGTTGCTCCTCTGAGAGCATTTCCTGCTTTTTCTGTTGCATATCTTTACAAAGTGAATCTTTTTGAGTTTTCTGACAGCTGTGATGCTGCTGATGAGCAGTTTGATGACATCACTGTGGGCTCAGGCCTGGGCAATCATGAGACAGTGGGTCCCTGACCACAGCTATGTAAAAGGCTTTTCAACACAGGAGCATGACACACAGACTTCACAGGTGTTTAGCCTCTTCTTGTTTTGCCTCTTTTCATTGTCGATATGCATCATTTTGTGGTTTTGTGTCTCTTTGTGGTCGTTTTACACCTTTTTTCATGTTTCTTTTTGCAGCTCCTTTGCATCTGTTTGGTCATTCTGAGTCTCCTGGGGCCGTATTCACAAAGCCTCCTCGCACTAAGAGTTGCTCCTCGTGACATTTTCTCAGAATTTCCCCTTAAAGTTAAAACTAAGTCCTTGTAAAGATGAAATGATTCAGAGTGCATCTCAGACCTTAAGAGAGCTCCTAAGGTGAAAAACGATTAGCAGTAGGGAGGAGGACTTTAAATAAGAGTTTCTTAATCAGGGCTCACAAAGGGGCATGTCCCTGACAACCAATCACACCTGTTAAAAGAATGTATCACACCTAGCAACAGGGTCGACATCACCTCACTTTTGCTCTGAGAGCTTTTATAGTTCACTCCTAAACCAGGACTTCTTACTAAAAACCTCCAGGCTAAGTTAGGAGCCTTCTGAGAGTGTTCTCAGAATGTTTGTATTATTTATTATTTATTTCAAGAAATATGCCCCTATTATTTCTCATACAATCCCACACTGGCAGCGGCTAGACGCACGTTGGCACTCTTGGACGCGCCGTCCCATGACACTTTACGCCACTGTCCATTTCTACCGCCTTTGGAATTAAATGCATTTTCCCCCCATTTGCTGTCTGCTTGTACAGACCAGCTCCTGTAGCAGCTCTTTTTCATTTCCTCTGCTCCTATGGCAGCTCGACTCCTCTCCTCATCACTGATGTATAAAGAGAACTCTGTAGCTGCAGCTGTGTCTCGTGTGATGAAGAATAGATGAGGAGAGACTTGAGAGGTTGAGAAGTATCCCGAGCTAAACGACCCACAGTCCCATCATTATAAAGACAATGGCCAAAAAGATACTTCCTGGTGAGTCACAGCTCTGGGGATCAGCTCTTCAGGTGAGAAATCAAGTTTAATCAGGGGCCACACATGATTTTAAGCTAACACAGAGGTGGAGGAAGTACAGATCTTTAAGTAAAAGTAGGAATAACTTTGTGTGGTCTTCTGTTGACGAGCTGCAGCGTTATGCTTCCAGTGTGCGCTACGGGCGACACTTGACACGCGTCATATGATGCAATGGTGCCAGTGTGTTTTCAGCTTTAATTTGAGTGATATTTTGCAGGTGATGGCCAGTGGGGCCACTGACACTTTGGGCCCCTGGGCCTGTGCCTGCTAGGCCCCTTCATTAGTCCACCCATCTCATGTAGTGAATCATATTTAAAATGATTATAAGCAGCAGAAGGATTTTAAAGTGAGATCTCCTCCTTTATAGAGAACAGTGGAAGTCCTTGACTTCCCAAACACGTGTCTTTCTGTTTCCTTAATTTACATCTAAAGACGCTTTAATTCTCCATCAGTGATTCCTTGCTCTCTCACAGCGGTGGAAAACACGCAAGTACATTTATTTATAGTTCTGTATTTGAGGATTTCCACTTTATGCTATTTTATCCTTCTTGAATAATCCTGACCCTCACTTTAACCTCGAAGTGAAACCAAGTCAGTGGTTTGCAAGTCACAAGTTAAGTCTCATGTCTTGAAATTTGAGTTTCAAGTCTTTAACAAGTCACAATGCACCCTTCACCGAATGTGACACCATTTTAACAACAGAGTAACAATGCATTAAGTTTACAAAAATCAATGTTTGTTTATTTGTGAAAACAAGTTTGTTTAAAGTTGTTGCATTTCCCTCTGTAATTTTTGACCTGCACGGTTTGTTTTGTTTTTTACCATTGTGTAGTTTTTGTACACATCTCCGATATCATTTTACCAAATAATGTAACGTAAAGTAATGTAACGTGACGTGACGTGACATGACGTGACGCTTTTTAATAACATATATTTCATCTTTGGGTTTGTGGGGAAGGTGTCAAGTATGTTCAAGTCCAAAGGCTCAAGTCTAAGTGAGGTCACGAGTCCTTGGTGTTAAAGTCAAATTGCAGAGCTTTTTTGATTCAGTCCAGTCTGAACCTCTGGTTTAACCCACCCATCTGTGTATACAAGTAGTTGATGAGCAACAACATGCGCAGCAGGTGCATCAATAATAACAATAATAATACATACATACAATAAATAACATAATAATGCTGAATAATGTGGTTTTAACTGTTGATACTTGAAGCAGCAGTATCAGTAGCATAGTGAGTCCATTTACTTAAGTACTCAGGTACTTTTTATTTTCCTGCTACTTCACAGCCTTCATCTGCACATCTCAGAGAGAAGAGAAATATATAAAAGTGTCCTTTTTACTTTGTTGTGTTTATTTTTATTACATTACAGATTCAGATTATTGATACAAACATAATTAACTGATAAATGATGATGTATTATTTTAGATGAAACCGTATAAAGTTATTAAAATGAGCTCCTCATTTGCAAGCTGCAACTTTAAAGTGATGAACACATGAATGCATCAGTATGGGCCACTCTGCGTATGGAGTACATATGTTGATGCTGTTGACGCTGATCATAAAAAGTAAAAGATCTGAGCACTTCTTCAACTTTGACTTTAACTTTACTTATAAGGGAGAAAAAGTATTTTTGCTTTTTGTCTTACCACAGGTTCTTTACTCAGTTAAAGCAGTAATAAACTGATGAGCATTTCTCACCTCAGTCCAGTCTTTTGCTCCGGTGGTGTTTTTCTCAGTGCTGTTGTTAAAAATCTCCTGCAGCCTCTCGGGAGCCGACATGCTGGAAACTCTGAGATGAATTAAAATGAATAAAAATGTAGATCTGTGTGCAGCCAGGACCTGAGACTGTCACAGAAACATCCAGCAGCCGGACAGCAGGTTTTATTCTGCAGCTCACAGACAGGAGGCTGGATTTACTCCCACTGGCTCCACCCACTTATCACAGTGGCCACGCCCCCTGATGAGCAGGACCAGGAGGCTGGAGACCAGAGGCAGTGTCAGACCGGGCCAGGACTCCTGATGAGTCCTGATCTTTCATTTTAGTGCCACCCTCAGGACACAATACCCCCAATTTTATACAGAAGACCTCAAATTCCAGTGAGAAGGATTTATGGGGAGATATTGAAATTAAATATAATGTAATAAGTTTTCTTTAGTGTATAATCACCAGCAAATAAGAATCGTTGTGTTTTTGTTACCTTAGAATGAGCCGTTTATATCTACATAGGGAGCAGGTCCTGATCTATGGAGATCGCCATGTTGCACCTGGATGTTTCTACAGTAGCCCAGAACAGACAAAACAAACACTGGTCCTTTTTACAGAGATCACGCTGTAGAGCAACTGCAACTTTTCTCTTCTCTCTGGTGTGTGATTTTAGACAGCATGCCAGCAACATAGAAACAAAAGAGGCATTACGACACGACATGTAACACAACAGTGTTGCCATCTAGTGTGACCTATAACACGCATCAGAAGCATTTTCTAAACAATACCAATGGCATAATATGACAATAACAACTGTCCCTGTTATATGGCGGCTAATCTTGTCCTCTGCTCAGAAGGTAAGGAGCTCCTGGACCTCATTGTTTCCCCAGTTTGCAGACATTTTCAGCTGCTGTTTTCTTCTTTGAGTTAGCTGCTAACTGCTTATAGCTGCTTTTTAAACCTGCAGCGGGTTGCAAACATAACACCTTGCCCCAGTGTCACACATCACACTCGTCCTTGCAGCTGTCCCTTTTACACAGACCCTGATAGGTGCTGTTACTACCTCCTTGGCTGGCTTAAAGGCAAGACAAGTGTCCCCCCCTATTCCACAATCGTACCTTGCATACACAACAGCAAGGCGGATTAATGATGTGATATCCCTGCCTTGAACAGGCGGTGTAAAAGGAATTTCTGACTCAAGATGGGGCCTTTCACATTTTTGCATTTGCCTCTTTACAATGTCAGAAAAACACAGATTTTTAACTTGAAACATCTTTGTTCAGCGTTTTTTTTTTTTTTCCAGTTTAAATCACCTGGTCCATTTATTTTGAAGAGGAAGAGACCTCTGTAGATAATTTATCCCCCGGTAAAAACCTCCAACAACAACTACTGAAGGAATCCTGACCAGGAGTCCAAGTTCAGCACATGGAAGAAGTTTCAGCCAGTTGCAGTCTGCAATACTCACTGCTGGATGCCACAAAATGGTGGAGCAATGGTGGTGCTTCTTTCACCGGTGTGACTGGTTTTTCCTCCAAATAAATGTGGCTAAGCCCAAAGAAATGTTTATGGATTTTTGGAGGAGCCCCCCCCTCGTCCAGTGGCAGTCAGTGGCAGCAGTGCAGTATTAACAGTATTAGGACACAGATACTGTTTGTAAAAGGGGAAATTAACATTTGTTCTTTTTAAAGAAGTTGAGAAGTTTTGATGTGGATGTGATACTGATGAAAATGTTTTGTTCTTTTATTAAGTCTGTCCTTTCTGTTTCTCCTTTGGCAGTTTTAGTCTTTAAGGTTCAGTGTTTAAAATTTAAGGCAAGGCAAGTTTATTTCTACAACACATTTCAGCAACAAAGTAGTTCAAAGTGCTCTACGTAAAACATCAAAAGCATCAAGACACAGTGCCAAAGAAACACATTCATTAAAGAACTAACGTTAGAATATACCAAGGGGAGTAAAAGTTATGGTGCAGTTCAAACAATAAAAGTATCTGAATAATAAAAGTTACAGTGCAGTGTAAGAAATTAATACATATTTGATTTAATAAAAGTCAGCAGCAGACAGGAAAGTCTTTAACTCTGATTTAAAAGAACTGAGAGTTACAGCAGAGCTGCAGTTTTCTGGGAGTTTGTTCCAGCACCTGATAATCTGTGATCTGCTTTTTTTCTCTGACAACTTAAAATCCTGAATGAAGCAGGTTCACTTTAAATAATCAGTGTTTTTACCAGGCAGCTCAACTTGAAGGGGCTGCCAACTACGGTGGCCGCTGCGAAAAGGTGAATGTCCCTCTGGAACCAGTGTCTGGGCTGCTGTAGAGACATGGCAGAGCAACATGATGATCTCCATAGACCAGGAGCTGCTCTCTATGTAATTATAAACAACTTATTCTAATGTAATGAAAACACAACAATTCTTAATGTCAGGTGATTATACACGAAAGAAGAAAACATACTTATTATATTCCATCTCTGCCAATATATCCCCCTAAACCCAACACACTGGAGCTTTAAAAACAGAAACAAAATGGAAAAAGTTGTCAGGCTGATCTGTAGGATTACAGGTGCTTCCCTCAATGACCTTCAGCACCTGTATGAAGTGAGGACCATCTCAGATGCACACTGTTGCTTTGAACCCTCAACATCCTTAAAATGTTGAGCCCCAGATGCTTCAATCAGGGCAGAGGTTTGGTTTCCCCGAAAGTAGCACTGACACATTTTCCTTTGTTTTTCCATTTTCCAGTGTTTGATTTGCCAACGTGGTCTCACTCTGAAGTTGTCTAAAACTGGCTCTTGGTCAGTGACCTCCAGTGTTAGACACTGACGATAAAAGCCATCATTTCACGTCGGCAAGATACGCAGCCAGTCATCGTTATTGTTTGAAAGCACTTGACAGTGTCGGGGGATACATGGTGAGCATGATACGCAGTTGGTTGCTGGTATTGTTCAACAGTGGCATCGGGTTGAAATGTGGCAGGACAACAATTATGGCTATGGTGACTTTCTCCTGGTTGGCTGGTGTTCACTTCCTGTTAGATTGTAAAGTCAAACCCTGTTCTTTTTTCCTAAACCCAACCACGTGTTTGTTGTTGAAGGAAAAAAAAGTCAATTCACAGTGTTTTACTGACACAGTGCTTTTATTTTGAAAGAGACTGTATGCAAACTGTACATTTCCTGTGAAAACAGAAGTGTATTTTGAAAACAGACAATGCATGTAACAGGCTGAAGTTGACACGGCGTCCCAGAACGTCAACAACCAACACACCCAGGGCACCTTGGACGTCACATGACCGAAGTCCATGACCAAACATGGACATGTGACGAGGTCACAGTGAGGATGTGTTGCATTTGTCAGAACCTGCACTTTATGTAGACATAAACAGCTGATAACAAAAACACATTTCTTATTTTAAGGTCATCAAGCACTAATGAAAATATAGTTATGAATATTATATTCCATTTCTACCAACAGACGCCACTAAATCCTTCACATTGGACCTTAAAGTATAAATTCAAAGTACCTGAATATTTCTATTTTCTGCTGCACTTCTACTCTCCTTCATCCCAGAGGTTAATATTGTACTTTTTACTTCACTACATTTGTCTGACAGTCAAAGAAAAAAGTAATAATGGTGTAGAAAGTGTAGTGCAGAAGACGTAAAGTACTTTTACATTTTATTTTCCACCTCTGTGTGTAGGCCTCCTGCCTCATGTGACTTGGTCTTTATTTAGATCTACATAAAACATATTTTATCATACACGTGAAGAGGTCAAATCCGTTCCTGGAGCCCAAATAAACTGGGTGTGTTGGTTTTATGTCCTTGACCTCCCTGCTGCTGACTGTCCTGTCTGCTGGCGCCACCTGCTGGTGAGAGGAGAAAGTAATAGAGAAATGAAACCAGCTGAGAAAAAATGAACATGAAGCTGAAATGTTTGTCTAATCACCCATCTGCTCTTCATCAATGTCCACTAAAAAGTAAACAGTTACATATTTGAGATGCTTTGTGCACATTTTCCCCAAATTCAGTACCTTTTAAAACTTTTGTCTCTCCGCTAGAGTTTAAAATGAAGTTCTGAGACTGTGGTGGTGAAGTCTGGACCAAAATATCTCAACAGTTATTGGATGGATTGTGATGAAATGGTTTAGACATTTATAATAATAATAATAATAATGATAATAAATTTCAAAAACAGTTACAAGGTGCTTTACATGCTTGATCCCGGATTTAAAACAATGCAGGATTCAAGCAAATAAAATGAGGCAGTTTTAAGAAAATACAAAGAACAATAAAAATAAAATAAAGATAAAAATACCATCACTGAGCAGATAAGCAAAGTGCACAAACACCTGATTGAAACTTGTCAAAAATGTCATGGATGTGCATAAAAGAAGTCAACTGCAGATAAATAGTCTTCTCTAAAACTTTATTTAAAAATGGTGATTTAAAAATGTATTTGTAATTTTTCAAATCAGAGGGGTCGAGGCTCGGTTTCTTGAGAAGTGAATGTACTACAGCATGTTTCAGCCTGGAGGGGACACAGCCAGTGGATAGAGAACTATCTACAACTGATAAAATAATGGGACCAACACTGTTAAAAACCTCTCTGAGAAATCTTTGAAAACTTTGGTGATCCTCCTCCTTTCACAGACATTCCTGGGAAGTTAATCCACATGACTCATTAATTTCTCTATCTCCCAGCGTGGTTTGAAAGCTCCCGTGTCCATGAACTGAATTTTAATTTCAAAGGTTGGTCGACACAGTTGGTGCAGGCTCAAACCCTCCACAGAGCTACCTCTGCCCGAGGTAGAATAAAACAAGGTTCTCTGCTCTGATTTAGGATCTGTGTCTTTATACATTTCCAGACGCCACTGTGGGACCTCAGATATGTTTCTTTCTTCCTCTTTGTTTCTCCTCTTTTCTCTGAAGACACACACACTTTCACACACTCTTTATCTCTTTGGCCTGCAGTGATTTCACTCTGCCAGAGCTACGCTTTGAATTTTCATTTCACCTCCTCATGAAGATACGATGCTGCTTTTAGGTTTTTATTTGAATCCAGCTTGTGATGTGTTCCTCCTGTGTGTCTTTTGTTAGGTTGCTGAGCTCTATTAAACCCAGCCTGGTGAAGAAATTAACAGACCTCC